GTGACCTCCGGAAATTACTATTTTATTTTTATTATATTACACATTCACTCGGCGCATTGATGATCTCGTAAAATCGTCGCCAGCAGAAATTTATAATTATGTAATGTGCTAATTCAGTCTTGGTTTTGGGACTGGGAGCACTTTGGCGGTTACGGATAAAAGGGGGATTCCCCTGTTTAGTACTAGTGCGCACTCGCACTGCGCGCCGACAAATTAACTTTTTGAAATAAAATATTGATAATTGGTCATTTAACTCGATTTCAATATTTTTTCATCCCAGAATTTTCAGGTCATAATGTAAAATTCACGCCACACTCCGCGTTATTCACTCATTTAAAAGTGATTACCTCTTCCTGAGGATTCATTCGCTCCAATTAAAGTCTGCTTCCGAAAAATTGTTTCCCCCCTTCATATCATTACAGAAAATAATATTTGGAAGTACCTCACTAGTCCCAAATTTTAAATAAAGATTATTCACATTTTGACCGCAATATGAAAAATCGATTCTACGAAAAATTTCATCTATTCTGAGTTGATTATACATCCGGTAATCATTATTATTTGAAATAGTCAATTACTTCGTACTGGTTCTGTCGAATTTCCAATCAAATCGAGATACCATTTTTTTTTTAGGAATAACAGAACATTTTTATGGACTCAGTAATAAATGCATGACAACAGGGTTACCAGCCCCCGGTTTCACAGTGTGCAATCACGTTAGTTGTCACTACCAGTTCGATTTGACTCGCACATAGATATATAATAGCTACAGATATCTCACCTCTGGTAAATTCAATTCCGCATGGAACTGGGTGGCCGATATATGGACGATAGGGTCCCCAGTGCCACATCAACAAAGTCCCCAGTCCACTGTTCACAAGTTTAAATGGATCTTGATACCTTGGAAACAATTGTTAAATAAATTATCAATTTTTCATAAGTCCTTTTGTACCCAAATGCCCAAAAACATTCAAGGAATTGTTGTCGGAGTAATTCGCAGTGGTCATTTTTTAAATTCAATCCTCAGCTCTCGGTATCTTGAATATTCACTAAATTAATGATCTGTCAAAGAGTCCGTCGACGCGTAAACGCGATATCGCCGCATCTAACTGTGTTGAATATCGATTTTACTTTTTTTTTTGCCATTGGGTAGGTTCGATGCTCTAGTTTTTAACCTTCTCTCTTCTAACGGGTTTTGCGGGGCGCATAACGACGCTAGATCGTTCGAGTTTATCGATCCGCGTAGTCATCGTATGTGCTATTTATTCTCTTGCGCTCGCGCGAGTACCAGGATGAATATACAAGGGTCTTCATGGAATATAATTACTATAAAATAATTATCATAATCCAAAATGACCAATAGTCAAAAAAAAAATTGCCCATTTCCATTGGAAATTTCCACCCAAAAATTGTCCTCATTATTACGGCAATAATAATTTTTCATTGCAGTGTAATAATGAGGGGATAATTCTATAATCATTCCTGCGTCTCAATCAAAATTGCAATTCTGGGAAATTATTACCAAAAATAAATGAATTCATGTGCAATATTCTAGAATTATTGCAATTTCTCGTCGAATAATGGTCGAAAATCGGATAAATGGGGCAGGCACACCCTCTCCTCCGTAAATAATGGAAGTTTATGGTAAAATTCAAGTTTTCTCTAGTGTTGCGGTTCAGGAGTTGGACGTGTAAATATCCCCCGAGCTCTAAAACTATTCATATTTGACATCCCTTTGCAGCGAGAATAAAGTCTTTCCAGGATGAAATATTAACAGCGGCGGAGAGTTATAGCCACGAGAACATTATACAGAAGAAAAACGAAATACCAATAGCCCAAAAGATAAATAAATTTTCGTTCCACTCATCTCCAAATTCGAATTCGAATAAATAATTTTTCGTAATAATAATTTTTGTACGATCAGTCCTTTATTCATCCGTGCGATCAACTCCTTTTGTTTTAATGAATTCTAATTAATTCCCATTAATTCTCATTAATTTTAATTAAAATGGGAGGAGAAAATTGGTTTCATAATTGACCTCGCCTTTTCTCCACCTCGATTTTTCATATCTCTTTAATTTTCCTTGAAGGACAGAATTATGGAATGAAAAAAAAGCTGGCGGTTCCGTGCACTTCCGGTGAATTCTCTCCTCATTAATTTATGTTTAATCCACATTGTACTCTCGGTTCAAAGTCAGGTGGAATTAATGTTTCATCCCTCAAGTGGCACAGCATCCGGCTGAAGCGGTTTACAAGGATTTAAAATTAAAATTCAATACCCGTAACTTTTTCATCATCAGTCACTCCCACGTAGATTTAATCGCAATGTTTGATGACCACTTCAGCATCACTTGTCGACACAAGTCAATTAATTGCGTGTTGCATCATTTATCTGGATACAGTACCCCAACATCAAAGTGACCTGAAACCTTTTCGATTAGAAATTCAATTCGGTGTGATAATGTTAATCAACAATTATGCAATTGTCGCGTTATTATTCTGGTATGAAAAATTGGTCCAACCCGTGATCCCCGAACAATTCCTTCGGTTCATTCCTCAAGGATATCGAGAAATTCTTACGTTCTGACGGTAAACGATAAATTCCAACATCGTTGCAAAATTCAGTAGCACGCGTGGGCGCAGCGCCAAACCAATTCAACTGCAATAATATTTGCATAAACTGGCTTCACCCCGGGAATAATTTATAGTTGAAGACGCGTTGACAATCGTCTATTCTTCTCCATTTTGCTTGTTGCATCTGTTCACTTTTAATTGTTAACGACTGAGAATAAATTAAATCAATTGTAAAGAAATTGCCATGAGAGAAATAATTCGCGTTTGGCTTTTGAGTGAATGAACGGCGTTATTGGTCATTGATTTCGCGAGGACATATCGACATCAATACGCGTCTAAAATACTCATAATTGATTTTGTTGAATTTTCAGGATGCGATGGACTCGCGGATTTCACTGCATGACGTTTCAATTAAAAATGTGAAAAAGCGAGAAGACTTCGTCCCGCGACATTTTTTAGACATCGGGAAATATTTCCTCTCAATCCTTGAATCGGATTGAATCGGATTGAATCGGATTGAATCGAATCCAGAGAATATTCGCACGAAATCACGCGAATTGATAATTTCATAATTATCTGCTGATTTTTTTATAGAAATTATAAATATTCCCGGCGGTGGATTTATTCGCATTTTTTTTTTATCTCTTCGTTGCAGTTTTTAGTTTTATTTCCGTTGCTTTTTTCTGCCTTCGCGTGAAGGTATGGAAGGTGGAAAATATGTTCGTGCGACATGTTAAAGTCGTGGGAAGCGATTTACCTTGATCGCGCATGAATGCATTCGAGTGAAGCTACATGCAAAAATAATTCACACGCGCTCCACATACAAATGATAGAGAACCAAATAAATTCTGCCCTCTGACTCTCGATTCATTTTTTAAAATCAATAATCCAATAAAAAAAAATTTATTCTCCATAGAATCTGCAATCTAGAATTTGTCACTCGATGAAATAGAGAGAAGAAAATAATTTTCCTCGAATACTCTCTGAAATTAATCCAGTACTAATCAATATAAACTCACATAAATAATAATTCCCAAAGATTGATTTAAAAAAATAAAATTTTTCGGGCTGACCAAAACAACTCTTAACCCCTGGAATTCGTAACGCGTGTTAAATCGTTTGAACTCCAGTATTCGGCCACCCCTGAAAATTTATAATAATTCCCGAAAGACATTAATCACAGCTGTCAAATATCCCCTAGGAAATTTCCATCCCTTTGATAAATCACGCGCAGAGAATTATTCATATCAATGAATTTTCCGATAAAATGGCAGAACGAAAAAATTTTCCACAATATCTAAAAAAGTATCGGTTAGTTGATAATAATGGTGTCATGGGACAATATAAAGTGATACTTCAGGACACTGGCAAATTGCAATTCCAATTGTCCACTAACTACACTGTAGAGTAGAACATGCAACTGATTAATTAGCCATGTAAATCCATTCTATCCTCTTTCACGTGACGGTGATTATAACGTGCGGTATGTATTCGTCGAGAGGTGAAGGGATGATCGATGCGAGTCAGTAAATGTGAGCCATTGCTCGATGGTAAACAGGTCACGGCCCTCCGGTGATACAATAAGTGTAAAAAAAAAAAAGATCGGCTTGCGGGAATTTTCGATTGAAGCTCGAGTATAGAGTATATCGATAGTTGCAACTTTGTCAGCAACTCTTCCGTCTTACGTATTCCCTTGAAAATAGGAACAAAGGAGAGGTCGAGGGCTCTACAAATAAAATCTACATGTCAAAATTGCAGGAAAATACCGGGAATTACCGAACAAATGGCTGAATTTACCCGGCAATTCGTACAATTTTAGTTCTGACTTTTCCCTGAATTTCCATCTCCGTGTCAGGCGTTGAGATGCGAAAGGGAGAATTGGGGTGAGAACGAATGAATTCAACAATTGCGAGTATTTGAATTCATCTGAGTGTGGATTTTATCATTTATTTTCCATTCATCGTGGAACAATAGTCAGTGCTGTAATAATGCTCGCAGGATAGTGATGCAACTCGATACTCTGTTTATTTAATTCGTCTCGATACAAATTATACAGTTCACCTCATTAGATATGAGAATTACATTTGTCTCTTAACAACGTTACATTATCCTTGAGATAAAAAAAACATCTCCATTACATTAATGTTTCTTGAGTTTTATTTTTTTCTGCAGAAATGCGGAGGGTTTTTACAATTGTATTTTAATATTTTATTTTTACAAGAATTATTTCCTTTTGTTAAATTATAAGAATGAGTTTTCTGGTTTAATACCGAATTAATTTGGAAATGGAAATTAGGGAAGAGCGGATTTTTGGGGAGTGAATGAAAATCGAAGGATTGGAATTGTTCGATTTGATATGATTGTAAAATTAATTGAGGAGTTTTAATTAAAATCGTGACGTCGTACTTACTTTATACTTTTTTATCGTTTCATCACAATCATTCGCTGATGATCTCATCCGTTAATCTACCAACAGTGATTAATTAACTATTCTTACAGATAATCTCAATTCCCTATATACATTTAGGTAATATACATACAATAAATTTATACTTGTGATTGATTTCATCTTCGTTAAAATTCCTTTCAATTATCATTTTCGTGGTTATTACCGTCTCATTTGTTTCTTTCATATAAAACATTAGAATAATAACTCTGATGAAGGTGTGGTAAAATGCGTGAGATTAGTTCCTCTCGGAATTGAAGATTTTCTACACAATTTTAGGAACAATATTTTATTAATTCAATAATTTTCACTTAATGAAAATTGAGCTGCTCACGCAGTTCACCGCGACACCCTCAAAAATATCAGGCACTCAGCATAACTTTTACTTTAACTAGTGAAGTCACAATTGTCATTGCTGTTTATCCTCAATTTGTAATGCAGTCCTCTCCCAATATTCAACCATAAATCATCCCCCAAAAAAAAAAATGCCACATTAAATCGTAAAAAAAAAATAAAAGGCTTTGCACGTACCACCAACGACCGATCAATTCCACCATTTTTTTCTGATTGATTCCGCAAAATCATTCAAATCTCTGGAAAAACATAAAAAAATTACGAGAGGACTTTTAAAATTTCATTCTCGCCCTTATAATTAGATCTTTGGTACAATTACGAGATTAATTCTAATGAAGTCTTTCCTGGTAAATAAATAAATCAACTTGGCTCATGAACAAATCAGTTACAGTAGACTCTCGTTATCGTCGCGTGCTTGGGACTGTAGGGGAGTTGAATTATTAAATTATTAATTATTATCAAAGCGAATCCTTACTGGAATCGAAAGATAAGTGGAAAGATAAATCGAGGAAAGGTGCGACTGTAACGCGACTCTACTGTACTCCCATTAATTATATCTTCAACTTGATAGATTACTTAATAATATAATAATATAATATTAATATAATATTATGAGAAATAGAAAAATCATATTTTTCATTGGATTAAGTTTCATTGCAATGATTAAATAAAAAATAAACTGTACACAGATGAATATATTTACTTACGATTTCTTCTAACATTTCATATACTATAATAATCGCACGATTTCAATACGAAATATCTCATTGTTATAATCAGTAGATTAATAATACCCACTTAGAAAACAATTTATGTATTGATTTTTGTTCATGACCGAAATATATTCATATAGACATTCTCTCATACGTGAAGTGCGATTAAATAGCGAATCATGTACATCTCGTCATTGCATTTACACATTCGGTGATGAGACTATTTACAGAATTGATTAAATATTCGTATAGTTTTTTTTTTTTGGTACTTTAATTGATAAGTAACTATGCAACATTGTATCGTACTTCGGTTTGCAACTGTCAGACAAAATCAGTGCTGACAAATTTATCTTTTACTTTTTACTGAATAGTCTATAATTAATTCAGTTGAGGAGATACAATTTTTACAAGTGTGAGCGGTATAAATTATGCACGGAATAATACAGAAATTAACTACCCTGATGAGTAATCGATGCTCCAAGGATTTATCTAAAGAGATCAGTGAACTGGGAATTTCGAGTTTGAGGCAGTGAATTCACTGAATAATCAGTTTAACGTACACTGTTAAAAATTTTTCGTTGACACTCGTAATAATAATCAACAATCAATAATTATAATGAATAATAATGTTTTTCATGAAATAAAAAAAAAATTTCCAACAGTGTAGACATCCCTGAATTCAAAGAAGATTAGATTAAGAAATACTTTCTAAAAATTTATTCTCACGAGAGAATCTCCTACTCCACTACTAATTTCCGATTGTTAATATCATTAACAATGAAATAGTCATTGATTATTCAACTAGCTTACAATTACTCTTGAAACCGAACGAAATTAAGAAAAAAATATAAATCAAAAGAATAAAAAATACAATAAAATTGGCTGCGAATTGTTAATTAATGAATCGTTGTAAATTTCAGTAATTACCTTCGATTTTTGGTACCTCTGGAGCATCCCCAATTCTTCCATTATTTACAGCATCCATCGCCTATCGAATTTATAGTTTTAAAAATGAAAAAAAAATATTATGATTTGAATTTAGAAGCAGTACTTTCTTGTACTGACTTCAGGTACTGGACTTAGAGGTGTGGGACGTCCACTGCACGAAACGTCCCGATCTTCGTGTCAGCCGTAATAATAATTCTTGTGCGACATACTCCTCGGTGTCTCAGTACGCAGTATCGTGTGTAAACTGTCAGCCCCGATCATGTGATTTCCCAAATCTACCCGGAGCCCTGTGTGCGGTTGTATTTGATGTACTTGTCCCATCGGCATTCTATTATCCGAATAGAAACGCTCACTGTGGAGTCGCTCCGCTAATTGCGTTTCAGGGGTGCTGAAACATTAATTAATAACCACATTATTAAAAACTTTTGAAAATAATTGAAAATCTCAAATTCAACAGAAAACCCGCACGAGTGAATTTCCATAGACAATAAATAAATAAAAAATCCATCGGACAATATTGTTCAATCAATAAACCGATTATTTAAACATTTTAATTGTTTATTTTACGGGAATAGGGGTGGTCAGGGTAATGGAGAATTGAAAATCATCTGCAGGGTGAATTAAATTTTTTGACAATTGAATTTTTTTGGTTGTTTAATAAATAAATTTCGGGGGGATCAATGTTGATCTTGGCGACAGGACAATGAAAAGGAAATTAAAGAGCGAGTGGTTTTTCTTGTTGAATTATGTAGGAACTCTAGTTTCCTAAGAGGCTTACCCCGGGTCCTGCATGGGAATGGGTACAGGAGTGGTGAGATCAATGTCTGCGTCGATTTCCGAGATTTCATCAGCAAAACCATTGGGCAATGTTTCGCTATTCGTGTGGAAATTGGCGTCCTTTTTTCTCCGATGACGACTGACAAGTAAACGTCCGATAATAAGACCCAAAAATAGAAGACCACCAGCTGCCACCGAAATTATTATGTAGAGATAGAATTTCTCCTGATTTTCTGGGGAAAAAAAGATATATTTTGATTTTCCCCCCATCGAATAATCCAATCAATTAAATAAACAAGAATGTCAAAAATTTGATAATCAAACCCATGACGATAAGTTTTTAAATTATTTCTTTAAATATTGATACAGTCGCTTCATCCCACATCATTCGAATAATTATTGCAAAAATGGATAATCAAGACGAAAATAACTCATACCTCAAACATCGAGAAGATGAAAAATAAATAAAAAATATGATCAAGTCATTAAAGATTCATGCACTAAATTTCATTTCAGTTTCAATCTCATGCATAATTCTACATCTCTGATAGTGAATGTTGGCAGGTGATGCCAACCACGCCCTGATAAGATAATTACTCGATAAGCAACAGTATGTCAACATTGCTGATCTAATCCTGATAAAGAAGTTTCAATTCTCGCATTTTCCGCAGGTAAAATAATTTATTATCCGAGGGTACCAATACCCGGGAATTTTTCATTTCCGCGAAAGCTCAAAAAGCTCTTCAGCCCTTTCGACACCTAGTCGGTAATACGTCGGCAGTACGTCGGTACAATGTCGGTAATGCGTCGGCAAGTGGTCGGCAAGACGTCGGTAAAATATCAAATTATCGACCTCGCTAAATCGACGGCTTACGTACCTCAATTACTTACTTGTAATGAATGAATAAGCATTGATCCATTCACTGAGGTATCCAATGATCACTTGATCCTCGTCGTCATTAGCGTAAACCACTGTCGTACAATTGGATGTCGATAAATCATCGGTTGACCTTGAGTTCATTGTTTCTTCTATATCATTGGTAGATGGGTGCATTCGCCTTTGGGTCTTGCCCTCTTTACCCACGAATTTTACCCTGTCCCGTACAGCCACTGAATTATTTTTGAAAATCAGATGATAAACAAAAAAAAATGTAAATTCTTCATTCTCCAAAATTTTCGAGAGATTAAATTCCCCGGTCATTACACTCGTGTTATTTACAAGACGATCAAATCGGTTTATCCGAATTATTCAATTTATATCTTGAAATTAAATTCAATTCATTTGTCTCGAGAATAATAAATTTAAATAATCGAGAGTAACTCCTGCAATTTACATTTATTTCCATTTTCCGAGTGTGTCAATGAATTTCGGTGGATTACCCGGATTTTCCGGAATATTCGATTTTGGGATTAAATTATTCCTCTTGATTGCAAATGAATTTTTTTTTTTTTTAATACTGATAACTCTCGGCTGATGAATTATGAAAGGAGTTCTCTGGGAGTCCATTGATAATCCCATATTAAAAATGCCCGAGTCACTCCGAAAGGTAAAATCCTCGGCTGTGCAATTTCATTTTGCGTTTGGGTAAAGGATAGTTAAGCTGATTTGTGCTCGACGAATAATGTACATAGGAAAGCCTGACGTGTGCTCTTCAGGAATAGAGGATAGACCACTCCAGAAAATATCTTAATTATCCATGCAGATGTATTATGCACGCTACCGCATCTTCGTGATCTTTGTAATACGAACTTTGGCGAGGGCTCATCTCATGATTAAAACTCCCTAGAGCCAATTCAAGAATTACCCGAAAGGCAAATAAAATTGCCCTGCTAACTAACCCACCTAATAGAATCTATTAAAATTCATAAAGTCCAAGAAAAGTTAACAACTTTTTTAAATCATTCAACAACTTTCCATATCACAAGTGTCTTACAATAATTTATCAATTACATTAATTAACGAAAATCATTACCTCGAGTTAATCACGACTCCTCACGTCGTGAGATCAATTGATAATAATTGATAATAATAATTCACATTTTTGGTGGAAATCACGCGCGATCGGTGGAAAAATATCAGGCCACAATATCAATTGTTCACTAGTTGTTGATATGTAATATTATTAGAATATTTTATTGGAATTAACAACCTTATCACTTATCATCGCGCGACTGACTCCGAGGACAGGCCACCGATAAATACGCGCATTCTGCTGGCATTGCTACTCGTGTTATTTTGCGTGACGTAAGCATTTTTGTTTGAAAGAATTATAAAACGAAAATACACCAATTCGTGTTGACGTGACACAAAGTAATATACACCACATTATTATCAAATCCGATAAAGTTCTTTATGTGTTCCAACTGGTGTATAATTGCACCGTTAAATGCTAATTTTACGACTTACAACAGATTGTTCATATTTTTTCATGCGCTGTTAAATAACGGTTGAAATTGCGAGAGAAGTCATTTCAGATTTTATCAATGGGAATTTTTCCGCGTGAAATTCCTCTCCATTTTTTAAATAATTCCTGCAATTGACGGAATTTACGCAATTGATGGATAATTCGAGTTAAAACAATAATAAAGTTTATTTTGCAAATTAATTAATTGAGTTGTTAAGAGAGTTTTGAGGGTGTTGTTGAGACGCGTTGGACGTTATTTTGTCGTTGAAATGAGGTTTTTTAAATGTAAATGGAGAATAGTTAGATCTGATGTCAAATGCCAGTTTGCAATGTGTTATCGGGATCCTCGAAGGGAAACTGGTTGGAAGAGGTTTATGGAACTCCCGAAGTTGACGAGGATAAATGGAAACTGAGTTTGGTATTCGCTACATCATGTCGTAAAATTCGGATAGTGTTTGAATATTTTATGGGGTGTAGTTTAAATTGTTACGTACGGAGTGAGCAATCGAGTCCGACTCTTTAAGAAGTTACGGATAAAATTAGCGATAAAAAAAAGGAAAGTATCATTTGCCGTTAATTTTCTACCAGAATTGTCTGTCGATATTTATAAACAATCGATTGTTGAAAAAATATGATATTAACCCTCGTCAAATCGAGGGAGAAATTACCGTACGAAGAACCCACGAAAATTCCGTCGTAAAAGTATCGAAAAACTTGGGCTCAAACCTATGAATAAAATTATGCAGAGAGATAAAAAGTTCTCGCACTTTTGTAATAACAAAAGAACCGCATCGATGAGAGTTTTTTATAAAAAAAAATGTAGATGGATCGATTAAACGTAAGAAAAATTATAATTAAAAAAAATTATACGAGTGAATAGCCTGCGCCGACAATTTGATAATTAAACATAAAAAAATGTTTATATCTTCCATTTTCTTAATTAATTATGAGTTGTTGGGAAAAAATTAGAGATTACCTTGAGGAGGCAAATGGACTTTAACGAGCGTAAAATGAGGTTTGAGGGTAAAATGAAAAAATATCCTCAGCGATGGGAAAAATTAACGCCGAAAAAACTTTTGTTTCCCGGACTCGTCTCTATGTATCTCACATATGTATATGTACTGAATTCTCAGAGTAAGGATTCCACAGACATACGCTTGTGGTAAATGTAAGTGTTATGTATACATGGACACTAGAGGTGAATTGTTTGTACATTTGGATATCCGAGCGTGTAACTGCGCCCGAGTTGAGTATCTCTGGCTGTAACTATCCAATAATGTAACTTTAGACACCTAGGTATTAAAATGAAAATGGATCCGCTACCTTTATTACACCCGTCATTTATCCCCAATTTCAAATATCTCTCATCCCCCCTCTGGTTCTTTCCCCTCCATAAAAACAATCACTGCGTAAAATTAATCTTCATTGATTAATTATTTCGTTGAATAAAACGCGAAATGAATATTCACGTCCACTTTTTATTTTTTTTTTGTTTATTGCCATTATTGTAAAAATTGCATCTTACGAATAATTGTTAAGTAAATATTTATTCATTATTGTTTTTATTATTATGTGATTCGTGAGTGAATTTATTGCTGTAGAAATTTTTTTATTTCTTTTGGTTTCGGTTTTTTTTTTAATTGACGAAATATTTATTTAGCCGAGTTTAATTGGATAATTTGGTAATTAACGAACGTTTGAAAGATGTTCTTAATTGGAACTCTTGAATTTAAGGGAAAACTGGAAACCGATTTTTTAGTCTGTTAGTGGATGCATGTGAAAAGGAAAAAGTGGTCGGAGATGTTAAATTTTTACTACTTATTTCGTTGAAATAGCTCAAGGCTTTGAATTGAATTTCAAAAATGATATTAAATTTCCCCGGCACTCCGCGAAGAGAAATTAGCAAAATGAAATTACGAGAAAAAACCTCGATAATTACTCCCCGAAAAATGACGGAAAAAATGGAAAAATTGCACAGGGAATTTTTGCGAGAGATTTTGTCCGAGAGATTTTGGGATGGATATAGAGAGGTCTTGGCTTGATATTCTTAATTTTTATCGAGTAAACCGAGTACCCAACTAAAATTAAAGTGTGTGACGCCATTGTTCTATTATTAGAAAACTCCTGAGGAACTTTTGACCTTTTTCCATAATTTTATTCACGACTTCCACCCCAAGTTCCTCAATAGTTACTCGCAGGTATTTTTCAGGCTTCTTGGTATGGTAATTTCGCCGCTCTCTGTTCGAATAATCAAGATTTGTAGGAACTGCAAATGCTGAGAATAACTTTTATAATGTTGATTTTTTATTGCACATTAGGGACTGTTCAAAATTTTTGTCGTAATTCTCTGCTCAATCCGGAGAATTTCTGATTAAATTTTCTGATTCAAAGCCAATGAATGGATCAATAATTCAATACAATTAAAATTCAATTCAATTTTTCAATTTGCAATAATAAAAAAAACCGTGAAAAATTGTTCATTGCACCGAATGCAAAAAGAAAATGTTAATAATTTTGGGATAATTTGAACGAGTCAAGTGTAAAAATGGACGTGATTTAGTGCTCATTACGATAATGAATAATTAAACCTGGGATTTTCGTCTGGATCTATGCACCAGTGACTGCTATAAAAATTGCAGCAATGCGTAAATATTTCTAGCTTTGATTCTGAATTCACCCATATTTGTTCAATAGATCGTCCATTTAATTGAGCCCATCAGTTAATTTTCCCGTGTTGTAGCGATACCAACAAATGGCCCTCGACAACAAAATTCAAACACTCGAATTTTCCGAGCATTCACCATCGAAAATACAACCAATTCATTTAAACCCGTAGTAATGCACTTGAGTGGATTGAAGTTGCTCAAGTAATTGCTATCACAAAATCGGGTTAACATTACTCAAGGAATTATCCCATTCTATGTTTAACAAAATGTCATAAACTTTAGGCATGAGGAGTTATGAATTTTATGCACTGAAAATTCAAATACATTTTGTTGTACTTTTGGCTTTCGCCTTCGGGTGCAACGACTGTTTTGTCTGCTAGTGAAATGTATAACAAGTTTCACACTCCAGACAGTTAAAAATATTTCCCTAGGGAGCTGTTGAAAATATCAAAAATTTGGGGATACGTGAGGGAAAATTTTATCGAAATCATACAGCGAATTATACGAGAGAAATAATGCAATAATGCAATTGCTCGGTGAAATATTTTAATCGAGTGAAATAAAAAAAGTCTATGGTAAAAATAAAAATTTAATTCAGGAATTGAAGTTGTTGATGTGAGTATTGCACCGAGTGTGTGGTAGATACGACATGAATTAGCACTTCTCAGAAATTGAATTCCAGGATAAAACGAAATTCAAGAGATAGCGGAAAGATTTGTTCCCGATTTCTAATATTTATCACGTGAGATTCACTCAAGTGAAAAATGAAATATTGAGCAGTCGTGGGAGTTTTTCTGGGTCAATATCTTATACTCGTTATATATCATTAAAAAAAAATTCCCGCCATCACATAAACGACAGATAAATGCAAAAATAAAAAGTTAATAAATAATTACCGATTTCATTGAGCGTACGATAATAAAAAATTCATTTCATTAAAACTGTCAACAAAAATTCTACCAAAAAATAATAATTATCCTTCCACCCGATTGTGATAATAATTAATAAAAATCGGTATTAAAAGTTCGGCAAGTCGTCGGATAATGCAATATTCAACACCTGAATAATTCGAAATGGCGAAAGTTTTCGGCCCTCGAACGCGAAAATCACTGTTCAATGAAACTGAACACGAGATTTAACCGCAAGAAAGAAATGATAATACCATTGAACTCATAATCACTGCGATGCCACTTAATTAAAAGTTAATAAAAGGAACGAGCTTCGATCGTAATCTCATCTTGGAAAGTTCTTTAATGATTAGAACTTTCAACATGGAGTCTTCACTGGGATAGATTTTCAATACACAAACCGACAAAACCGGTATTAATGGAAAATCGAAAACAATTAAGTTTTTCAATGATATAATGGGGTTTTTAGGGGATTCCAGAGTGTTAGTCCAGATGTTATACCCCTTTTTGTATTCAGTGGACTCCGAGGGCGGTTTTTATGGTCATGGGAGCGGCGGACCCGAATACGTTAGTGTTTTTTTTACTGTAAATGGTTGTTAACTATTTAATTTCTCAACGGGAGATAATTTTTTTTAATGAAAAAAAGCTCTTATTCCTCCACTCCACCCATTCGACGTGCCGATTTTTTATAACAATTTCGGTAAATAATTTTCTCAATTCCCGAGGTTTTCTGGATTTTTAAATAATGCAAAATAAATTGTTCGTCGGATGTTAATGTTGTTAATAATTTTGGTCTTTAAAAATAATTCAAATACCCTCCGGAATAATCAAACAATTAAACAATAAACAATAGTGACGGTTGTTGGCAACTGTTCAGTACTTCTCATGCAGTTGCGAAAATTTATAAACAAGTAGATAAACAAATAGCGACAAAATGCAGAATAAAATTCACTGAATCATGCATTTGAAGAGTTCAATATCTCCATTGCATGCGGTGATATGTAAAATTTTCATATATTCAAGAAACTTACTGTCGTTATTGGTTCTGGCGCGGGGTGGTGAGGAGCTTACGGTGGGTGATTTCATTGTGCCGTTATCTCGTGGTTGAGGCTGCGGTCCCCCAAGATTTGGACTTGGACTAAACTCAGTCTTAAAGTCCGTACGGTCGAAACCCTCATCGAACTCCGGAGCAAGATCCATCTCATCTGCTTCAACATCACCAGCGAATTGTTCTCTCAAAACGCCTCTTGGAACTATCCGAGAACAATTCAAAATTTCACTCAATTCAATCCTCAACTTATTTATTTAATCCTACTATTATTATTATTGATTGAAAAATTTTCTCCATTTTTTCCATTTTTTCCATTTTTTCCCCTTTTTCCATTTTTTCCACTTTTTCCATTTTTTCCATATTTCATTATTTATATAAAAAAAATATTGTAAACATGCAGTTGACGAAATAAAATGATAAAATAATTATTGTTGTTATTATTTCAGTAATTATCTCTCTGCTATTTATTCACCTGGAAAAATGATACATTGGAATGAACAATAGTTTACAATTGGAATGAATTTATTTGAAGGTAGTCCTGCTTTGAAATAATATAAAAAAGTTTTGAAATAAAGATTTCTATTTCTCCAAACCGTCAATTTTTCAGAGTGAAGAGAGGAAAACCAAGATATCCCCCATTTTCATAAAAACTATCTCGTATCCATAAAAAACTCAAACATTTAATCAGCGAGAAGAAAACCACTTTGTTTATCCTCGTCAAATAAATTCACCTTCCTCATTGAAAGAGCCCCCCTCCCACCCCCCCACGTTAATAGTTTTTTTTTCCCCACCTTCGGTAAGTGGTAGCTTGAGGAAAATAAAATTTTCATGTCCCCCAGGGGATTTCTCCACTCCCCAGAGATACAGCAAAAAGTCCACTTTTAATAACTCCCACTCACCCGTGCTTTTTTTTAAATAAATAATACCCCAGATGAAATGTTTGGTGGACATGAATAAAAAATTTTCAAACTCCCCAGTCGAGTGAGAATTTTTCCTTTACTCTGGAGATGCAGTTGAATTCCCGCCCGGGACTCGTGGAAATACCGATTTTCGCAAAATGTATAATTTTTTTTTTATCGGGTACTTTTTTTGGGGTTTATTTTTCTCTGGGTCCTTGGACATTCTCCTCAACCGATTTTAGCCGAAAAACAGGGTGAAAATGCAGGGGTTGAATGTTACTGGGCTTACGGGTAGTCTCTGGGATTTATGTATGCGATAGACAGTGTAACAAAGGTTGTACGTACAAGTACGTATTTTGCGGTGTGTACGTTTCCTTCCGGGCTTGCAATTACCGTTGAACATGTGGACGGTTTTCGTTAGAAACAAGTTACTGGGCATAAAATTTGCACTGCATGAATTCGTTTCACGTACTAAATGCATATCTGCGGCGAATTATTGTTGAATGCTTCACTGCTAAATCGCTGCCATTTTGTGGTACATCGCGAATGGTAATTCACGGTTTAATTTACACTCGCGTTTCAATTTACACTCATTAAATAAAAAAATGGTTTTGTACGTCTGTACTACTGTTTTTTCGAGGTAATTGGACTGTAAATCATTTTTCCCGCGATAACTGCAAAATTTTTCGTTTGAATATATTTTTTTTTCTTTTTCAAATTCAGCCGCAGCTTCACTCCATTTTTTTTACGTTTAGGCACGTATCGTGGGGGATATTTTTTCATCAACCATTACTCGCAAAAAAATTATGCTTTAATATTTTTTGGGAGCGGGTAATCACTCGGGGATCCCTGAAAAAAACGTTGCACGTTTTTTTTTTTTTTAAGGGAGGCGATTATAATTGCGCGAAAAATTCTGGTACCTCGCGAGCGTTTTGAAAAATGTTGATTTAGTAGAATTGCAAAAATAAAATTAATTCTCCGATTGTACCAGCGGTTTGCATATCATTACGGCTTAAAAAAAATTGAAGTAATGAAAATAATTAATTATTATTAATGATAATCACAATTATGATTATTAATTTGAGGATTCACCGCGAAAAAACCAAAAGGTTCTTCTGTCATAATAATTAAATAACAGTATTTATAATTAATAATAATTGCGACGAATTTATCGAAATATTAAATTAATTAGATGATTCTTTAAAAAATATTTTCGACTGCTTGGGATTTAATTTGATAGCAACAATTTTTGTCGGCGAACAAGTGGATTTACTAAGTTATTCCCCGGGGTGTAATGGACTCGGTATAAATCAAGAAAGCCGTATGAGTAATGCAAATAGGAAAATCCGGATAACCCGCGAATATTATCAATGCCAGAGGAAACACGTACGTATCGACACCCAAATCAAAACAACACAACTCGAATAAATAACCAATATTATTCACCAGATGTCCGCTAATTTCCATATCCCCGAGTGATCACGTGTATCGGATATTTCAATCTCCTCACTCGATAATTGCAATACGGTGTGAATTATCACGTCACAAATACGGCATTCATGACAGCTGTACAATAAAATAATCATTATTGTTCGATATGTAATGCATCAATTATTTGCTCCACGTGTTTCGGCTATTATGCACGAGAATATTGGCCGAATACCAAGTGTTGATGAACAAAAGGACGAATAAATAAAAACAATTTGATATGACAGCCAGTAAATTGAAAAGTGGAGAAAAGATGGCTGTGACAAGGACAAATTGCCGGTTCGGCCCATTCCACAAAAGTAGGGTAATTGCCCTACATACATATTGACCGGAGTTTTTTGATTGTTAACTGTATCAATTGATTTATGGGAAATACTTGGGCTTTGAAAAACAACCCCTGGAATTTATCGCCAGTCCAGTGATGGAATTCTACACTAAAATATCAATTTTTTTCCCTCCATCATTCATATATTTTTTGGGTAAAAAGAAAATAATTATTGGTGTTAATTACACTTGTATTTAGGTAATTTGTTGTTGAAGGAAATTGTTGCTGGGGAATCCACGGGTTTTAGGGGATTTTTTTTTATTCGGAGAAATTGCTAGGGCAGTGGGTGATTCTGAGGTTTAAACAAATTATGTGGCAAAATGGAAAATTAACGGAATTTTCAGCAATTCACCAGCCACTTTACCATTCACCGCATTCGTTACCAGCAAAACTCCTCAACTCCACTAGCAATCGACCTACTTAATTCACATGCACCCCAGTTTTCTAAAATTAACTGCAAAAACCGTCTCCCAGCCCTTCAAAACTTCACTAAATCTGGCAAAAAGTAGCGAATAGACCATTGAACAAATTTCACCATCAGCCATTTTAGAAATCTCCAGTTGAAAATAAAATTAAACCGACAATTACCCCGCCCCATGCAAAAACTGTTTAAAAAAAATTTTAATTTAATTTTCCAGAAAAAAAAAACGACTTCAATTGAATTATCCATTTCCCGTAGAGCCCCGATTTTTAAATAAATTATAAAACTTCATGAGTTTTCAAATAAAAATGAATATTAATCCCTTCAATAATTTTTCATCTCACAATAATTTATTCTTTAAAAAAATCATTGCCTTCAATTTTTCCCATTTTTCAAAACCGAAATACTATTTTATCAAAATAATAAATAACAATTAAATCAATAATTAAATTGAATCGAATTAAATTAGCAATCCCCCAAAAATAATTAAACCCTCTAAACAACTGAATAAATAACGAATTAACGCAGTGAAGTTTTTTAAATATAAACAACCGGAGTAATTAATTCATTTAAGTGTCATAAACAGCGCAAATAAAATTGTTTATGGGACAACAATAAAGTTTCGGACAATGGGGTAAGAAATTGAAGGGTACACTGAGGTGATTTCATAAACGAAGTGTGAAAATTGAGTGGCTCTCCTGGGGTCGACGATCCCTTTTCCTTCTATCTCATTGAGTTTGCGCATTATTACTCTCCTTATTTCACATACACCCACACATACAAGTCGTCATTACATTCACGGATTCAGTACCAAACGTACATAATTGGGTGGATGGGAGGTGTACGAAGATGATCGGGTAGACTAATTTCAGAGACAACGGTAAATTGGAGGCGATAAAGAAAATTTGAAGGTCTAGCAATAATTGCTCTCCGAAGTATCATTTTGAGAGATAACGGCAGTCTGTTGTGATAAGGCATCGCTCTAAATTCAAGGGAACACTTCGGGTGGATATCCATTATGTCTATTAATTCCCTCGGCTTTCTCCATTAACGTTTCCACGTGGAATTTTAAAATTGGGACTCTCAGGCCCATTAAACTGCTAAAGTCATTTGATAATTACATTCGGAATAATTTATTCAATTATCTGCTGGATAATTAACACTTCAAGTGATGGAAATTTATATTTTTTTACAACCCATCCCGGAAAATTTACACCCAATTTTTTATTAACGAATCCGTTAATTTCTGGAGTGTAATTAAAATAATAATTGAGGGATGAATTCATCGTTGAATGGAGGGGAATAAAACAGTATTGATAATGGACTATCAAAAATCGAAATGAAATGGCGTGCAGGTAATTTTTTTTCAATCGGGAATGGAGAATGTACTTCAATGCCTCAATATTTGTTTTTCACCGGTTTATTCAATGCATTCGCCATTGAAATGGCCGGTACTCACTTTTTCCTGATCAAACACATGAAATGTCATGAAAAAGTGAAAATGTGTCTGGGGTTTTGTCAAGATATTCTGGAAAATTCCGCGGAAAAATCTCTCGACAAAAATCACTCTCCCCTCAATTTCGCGATCCCTCGGCTTTTATTAATTAAATTTATTCCCTAATTAAATTGAAGACGGAGAGAATTATCGATATTATTTATAGAGAATCACTGCCATTTTTTTATAAATATAATATAATCCAATAAAATCTGGGGATTTAATCCCTGAATGATATATTTATTTAAAATCCCCACCGCGAGTATCTGCACTGAGAATCGCGGGATTAAATTATCCGTTGAACCTCGGGATATCCTGGTATCATACCAGAATATTTCTCCACATCATGTACCGAATTTTCAATCAATATAAAAAAATATAATAAAAAAAAAATATATTCTACTCCACAAAAAAAAAATGAGTTTCCATAAATCAATAATTAACAAAATGAATTAATTGTCAATTAAGGATGATTAATTTTCCACTTTAATTGAGAATTTAATCTTGAAACTAATATATTTAAAAATGGAGGAAATTCCAAAGAATGTAAATAATTCTCTGAGTGAGGGGATGT